TCACCAATTTCCTGCGCAGTCCTCCATCCATGCTGCTGTCCACGGGGTGCCACACAGACCCTGGGGCCCTCTGGCCTCCAGCCTACTCGGCCCCTCTGGGGGACCCGCTGCGCCCCTTGTCTGCCCATCGTCCACATTCGCCGGCCTGTGGTGAACAAAGGTGCCCAGTATCCCTCTGAGAGCCTGAGGCAGCTCTGGGGCAGTTTCCGTTAGGCCTTTTAAACAGTGTCCCTTGGAGACATGGCCCCTGTCCAGCGGCACGGGCCTGGCTGTCACTGACCTGCTCTGGGATCTGAAGCTGGTCCTTCTCCCATTCTGAGCCTCAGTTTCCCCACCTGTCCCATAATCCCTGACCTGCGCCGCCATCTGGTGGATCTGGAAGGTTCTGAGGGGCAGACTTGGAGTGGCTGCCTCAGGATGTGAATGCACTCCTGGGCTTGGAGCAGCCCCCCCACCCTACACAGGGGCTCCCAGAGAAAGGTGTATGCACAAAGATGGAGGTCGTCACCCCGATGCCTCTTACGAGTGTGAGGAGCTGGGAGCAGCCACCCTCCTGGGCTTAAGTAGTCACGACAGTTTCCTGACGGGGTGACACACCAGAGTGGGTGACTGCAGGACGCTTCCAGGACAGGCCTTGGGTCTGGGAGGGCAGTCGGCCGCCTGCTGGCTCAGCGCAGGAGGATTAGAAGGCGCTGCCTCTTTCTCCTTCCCTCCATTTTCTGAAATCTTGTTAAATGGATCTGTTTCTTTTGCAATGGGGGAAAAATCATTTAAATCACAAAAGCAGCCACAAGGCCAGAGTGAAACCGACCCACTCAAATCATCACTGCAAGTTTTCCCCAAAGACAGCAGACGTTTCCAGAAGGTGCAGGAGGTCATGGGGGGTGGAGGGGGCAGCATGATCAACGAGGCATGTTTTGGCCATTTAAAAAGGAGCCCAGGTGACCGGGGTAGGGCATGCTCTGGCCTCGCGTCACAAGGATCGGCTCGGTGTGAGGGCAGCGGTGGGGCCGAGCCCATCCTTGAGTCTCCAGTCTCACCGATGTTCTGAGTCTGACGTCTGGAAGGGACGTTTGTAAAGAAAATAGGAGTTTGTTTTGTTACACTGGAGCCGGGAGCGTGCCGTGCCGCCGAGACAGATACTGACACTTCGTGACGAACCCGCCACAGCAGAGCTCGGTGGGTGTGCAAGCAGACGTGCGTCTGGCAGTGGCTGGCTTTTCTGGAACTGACTTGGTAATTAGCGTCGTGCTGGCAGCTGCCTCGTGTGACAACCTACTGTGTGTGCCGGCCAAGCCGTCGGGGATTTCACGTTGGTTCGTCTCCTCTGATGTCAGTTTTGTACAGTGGGTGTCCACAGTTTCTTTCTAAGACTCAAAACTGGAGCTCAGAGAGGGCAGGTACCTGACGGGCCACACAGCCCGGAAGATTCTGTCTGACCTGTTTGGCTCTAAAGCACGGGCTCCTCCCTGGGACTGGCAGCTCTGCCACTAGATGCCACGTCCTTGGGGACTTAGGCTCACTCGCGCCCTGGCCACACTGGCTGCCGTGATAGCCATCAGCTCCCCAGTCCCTACAGGAGGCATTTTGGGCCAAGGGAAGCAGCAGAGAAGAGGACACACCCCAGGTTTGTGTGTCTGGCAAACTCAGGCTGGAGGATGTGGCCGCCGGCCGACTCCTGACTTCTCTGGACGTCCCCCGGGTCCCCGTGAGGCCCTGGGCGCTCGGCATGGCGTGACCCAGGGCCGGGCCTCAGTCCCCACCGTGGCATTTTCCCGTGTGAGTCAAGGGCGCGCTGTGTTCACCGTCGTCAGCAACTAGCTCGTGTGGGGAGGATGTTTCATGCTGAAGACAGGAGTGGACGAGGAGGGGCGGAGCCTCCTGGGGGTCCGTGTGCCTGCGGCTCTGGTCCACAGCGGGGGCTCAGCCGCCTGCCCTGCCGCCTGCCCCCGGCAGTGCCCACCGAGGCCCCAGGCCGGGGACAGGCTAGAGGCTGGGAGGGGTTCCTCCAGGCGCCAGGCCCGAGTGCGTTCTCACAGGTCCTCCCAGGGCCCCGGGGTGTCAGCGATGGGTGCGCCCACCAACCCCGCCAGGTGCAGAGCCTGCATCGCCTGCAGTCGCGTGTGGAGCCCTGTGGGGCAGGCATCGCTCTCCCTGTTACAGGGAGGAAACAGGCCTGGTGAGGTGAGGGGGCCCTTCCAGGGTCACCAGGCCGAGCCAAGCCGGGAACCCAGCGGCCCGGGCCACCCCGCAGCTGGCTGCTGGAACTTGGGGCTGCTGTGCTCCTCGGGGACACCAGTGTGGCGTTCCCTGTGACCCTGATGCAGACAAGGGCCCTGGCCATCCTCTCCCCCACCACATGATTTGAGGAAGAGGACAGCTTCACGAGGCTCCGCTAGCCCCAAGGGGAAGTGATGCTTGCTCAGATTCTTAAAGGCGCCAAAGACAAGTGACACATTTGTCCACCTCAGAGCACGGTGACTGGACACGGGCAGAGAGTAAGGACGGGCGGGCCACGTGGGCCGATGTGGCCAGGCACCTCTATGTGCCAGACGGGACCTCCCTGCACGGGACCCCAGCGGTCACTTGGCCTCACTTCTCTGTGGCCATCATTGGGACAGTGGGTGGAAGGATCGGGGGCAGCTGAGTGTCCTGGAGGGAGGGCATTCTATAAATGCTTTTCTGAGATCGGAGGGCACGCCCTGGCCCCGGGACGGTCCCCTGGGCGTCTGTCCTCGTGAGTGTTCCAGCCATGGCCACGTGTGGCACCTGTGTGTGTCAGGGACTGAGCCAGGGCCCAGAGCACACCTGCCCTGCAGCTGGAAGGCCACTCACCTGTCAGGATGGAAACTCCACACACCGTGTGTGTCCAGAGTGGGCGCGGGTGGCCTGCGTGGCCTTGTCCTGTTCTGCCTCACCTGCTCCTGGACGCTGGAAGCCTGTACTCTGACGCCAGCGTCAGCCAGAGTCATGTGGAATTGGGCCTTTTGCAGAAAAGCAGGCCCTCAGGCGCTGGCCGGTGGGCGCTGTGGTGAGCCGCCCACGGGGGTGCCCTGTGAGCCTGAGCTAGGCCGTGCTTGCCGTCCAGAGGGAAGAGTGGGTGTGCGCCCCATCGGCTCTTGGTGCTGTTTCGGGGTCCTTTCCTGGGTAGGCCCCAGAGTTGTTGTCCCGTCAGCCCCACCTGGAGATATACCCCAGTCCAGGTGTTCCACATGACGGAGCAGCAAGCGGGGTTTCCCAACCAGGCCATGGGGCGGGGGCGTCTCCTGCGCCTCAGGCAGTTAGGCCCAGGGGTGTTACCCAGCACCACTGCACTCCTGGGCCCCAAAGTGGGGGTACGTTCAGCCGATCCTGCTGGGAAGAGGCGGGGAGGGCGTCTCGGGTATCAGGCGAGGGCTGTGGGGCTCAAGGCAGCCCCTTCTCGGGGTGCCCCCCTCCAATAGGTAGGTCAGTGATGTGCTTGGGGCCAGAGGCCCCATCCTACAGCTGGGGAAACTGAGGCTTAGAGAGGTTCCAGGCAGCAAGTGAGGGGGTAGGATGACAACCCAGAGCTACCTGACTCGGGGTCCTGAGCCCACACCATGGGACAGGGCGCCTTGGGCTCCCAGGTTCTCGTCTCTGTCCGCATGGGGCTTGCTGCAGGCTCAACCTGCATGTCAGGGCTGGGAGTCTGAGCACACCCTTGGGAAGCCACCACCAGGTCCCTTCCAGCCTCTTAGGGCCTCACGAGCCCCAGGAAAGCCAGTGCCGGGGACCAAGGACAGTGAGGAGGAAGCTGTGAGCTAACGCGGTGACCGCGTGGCTCCCAGCCCGGGCAGGCGGTTCTCACAGCTCTCGCCCTGTCCATCTAAAGAGCACGACCCCAGTTCTGGGTGAGGGACTGCGGGTGGTCGTGCCCCGGAGAGGTTGGGGACAGCTGCGTTCTTGCCTCTGGGGGTCTGCGGGAGCCTCATGTGTGCCTGGTGTGCTCAGGAGCGTAGGTGGGCACTGGGGACGTGGTGCCCAGCGCCCTCCCTCCTCCTGGTCACCCCCCTCACACTCGGCCTGGGCAGAGGTTTGAGAAGGGACTGGGCGCAGATTCCACATCCGCCCGGGGTTCTGGCCGAAGCCGAGGAGGTCTCCCCGCTGTGGCCAGTGGGGTCTTGGGCTGGATTTGCCGCGTGTTGTCACAGTGAGCCACTCTGCTGCGGGGGGACGCTGCATGCCCCGAGGCGTACGTGACCCCAGGGTGTGGCGGGAGCAGAGGGGCCCGGCCTGGGCTTGCCCTGAGCTGGACGCTGCCTCCTGGGCCTTCGCTCAGCTCGCAGGCCGTGGTGTCCTTGCTTGGTTGGTCCTGGGTGTGTCCCCTCACTGGCTAATTCGGGAAGGTTCCAAAGTCCCACTGTACCATGTAAGTCCCAGGTCGTGGGCATTGTTCCAAGAGCAAGCAGGGGGCACTTCCTGTCATCATGGGCGCCTCCTGCGTGCCCGGCACCCCACTAGGACAGGGGACACACAGCTGCATGAGTGGCAGTCCCTGCTGCAGAGCTGCCAGCCTTGGGGGAGACAGGCAGTGCAACTATCTATGAGCTGATTCTGAGGGACCCGCAGCCTATGGGGGAGCCCTGGCCCCGGAGGCCTCCCCGAGGAGGTGACTAAAGCGTGGGCAGGAAGTAGGCCTTTGATGGCGGGAGGACATCCCAGCCCCAGGGAGCAGTAGGTGCCGAGGCAGGGCCGAGCAAAGGGTGTGGGGCGCTGCGAAGGGGTGACTGCACTCTGCCAGGAGCAGGCACCCCAAGACCTGCCAGCCCCCTTCTGCAGACACTGCGAGGGAGCCAGCGGTCGGGGGTTGTTTCGGGGTGGTGCGGGACAGTCACACCAGGCTTTCCTTGTGGTCCTTCACCTCCAAGTAAAATTCCGAACCTCTGGGCACTCCGGTTCCTACAGCCCCCTCCTCGTTCCTGGGGTCATGTCCCACCAGGCCTGCTGAGCTGACTCCTTGGTCACCTTGTGTCTTGCAGAACGTGTCTGACCCCAGAGCACCCCCGAGAGAGCGGGTCCCACAGTGGCCTTTGGAAGATGCTCTAGGAACGCACGGCCCAGGTAAGATGGCCTTTGCCCTGGGCCTGGACAGCGAGGTGACCTGGGAGCCGGGTGGCCCAGCCAGGAGGGGAATGTGGCCCCATCTATCAGGAGACCCCAGCACCACCACGCCCTCTCGAGCCCCAGCCTGCAGCGGGGCCCAGAGTCCCCGAGGGTGGAAGAGACCCTACTCCAGGACCAGGAGCGAGGGCGCAGAGCACAGGGTTCCGTGGGCTGCCGCGTGCCATCGGCCCCCCAGCGGCGTCGCCCCCACCCTCCTGGCCCCTCACGCGCCATTTCATTGAACTCCCCCCGTCCTAAGAGCCCAGGCTGAGAGGGGCCCTGAGCGCCTGCTCCCCATCTGGCCCGCTGAGCCCGACTTCGAACTTGCATCTGGCCCCCACGTCTTTGCAGCCACCTGATGCCATCCGCTGCCCTTTGGAGGAGTGACCCCAGAGAATAGGGGTGTTTCAACCCCAGTGTTTCGGGTACGAATTCACATAGATAGGCAGGGTTTTGGGCCCTTAGGGTCCCCCAAAAGGCAAAAGGCTCTGGGTAGCCTCTGAGCCGTGCTGGTCTTCACCGGGTCTTAGGGCAGGGTACCTCTGTGGGACGTGTGTGCCCCACACACACCGGGGGGCCTCGCAAGACTTAACCAGTGCCCCTCTCTCCTTCCAGGTGTCACATCTTCTTCCTGGCCACCTTGTTCCCCAGTGACTCCTGAAGCTTAGATGACTGTGGCCTCGCTCAGGTCAGTGCAGTGTTTTGAATGTTGACGTTCGGGACTACCCACCCCCTCCCTGCAGGTGCCACCCCTGACAGGGCATGCTGGAAACAGGGCACGCACGCCGTGGAACACACACGCACACGCACACGGACACGCCCGCCACGGCCTCTGGAGGAGCGAGGAACGGGTGGGCACCTCTCGCACGTTTGCGTGGGCTCAGCTGGGTCCCCGCCAGCCCCCCGGCCCCCTGTTTCTGCAGCCAATGGTCCAGGGTCTGCGAGCAGTCAGGGGCTCGGCCAGGTCTCCCCCAGAAAGCGGGATCAGGACAGTCTTTTGGGGTCCCATCTGCACATCAGTCGAGAAGCTCCCTTTGAGAGCAGCCGGCCGTCTCGGCATGTCCATGGCGGCGCCCAGCGCTGGGCTGGGTGAGCATGGGCAGTTCGGTGGAGCAGAGCTCGGGCTCAGCGGTTGAGAAGGTCCTGGCCTGTCATGGCTGCCTCATGGCCCCGACAGGGGGCCTGTTGTCCTCAGAGCCTGCCCGCCCCCCGCCTTCCCGAGTGCAGACTGTCGGGCCCACTTGGCTGATTCAAGCCTCCTGGGAAGTCTGTGAGGCCAGACAAACATCAGCTCCCTCCCCGTGTTGGCCAGGGGCAGGCCCGCCCCCCCGGTCTGTGTGGAGAGGACCCCAGACTGCCGCATCTGGGCCCAGGACCCCTCTGCCATCTGGGCCTTGCGTGTTTATAGGTTCCGCTCGCCTGCCAGACTCCGCAGACGCTGTAGGGCTTTTGTGTCTGCACGCAGGGCCTGCACCAGCCGGTGCCTGAGGGTGGGGTGGAACATGGGTGGGGAGGGGGGGAGCCCCTGGGGACACCAGGGAGGGGGAAGTGGGGACGTGGGGGGAGATAATGGAGGACAGGGAAGAACAGCGTGGAGGCAGCGAGAAAGCAGGGCAGGGCCCGGGGGAGAGAGGAGACGCAGAGCCTAGCGGAAACTGCGGGGGCCGCGCTGGGGGAGCGGGGCCTGCGGGTGCAGCTGGCCCCGGGCGTCCGATGGGGCCCGCTGGGCTCTGCCCCAGGCCAGCTAGCTCAGGTCCTAGCTCAGGGCAGCGGTGGCGGTCTCCGGTGACCAAACGAAACCCAGGCCCCAAGAGGTGTGTCCCTCACAGCTGCTAGGGCACCTGGTCCTGACCCCCAAACCCTGACAGACATGCAGGAGGCCACAAGGGCGTGTCCCCAGGAGGACGGGGGTCCCAGGGGCAGCAGGCTCCCAGGCCAGAGCGATGGGGGCCGTGCACAGTGGCCGAGGCCCGGGATAGGCGTCACCCCCTTGTTCAGCCCCAGCATCACCACCAGCAAGGCCGACGCATCAGCTCTACTCCGCTCATCCGGAAATGGAGACGGGGGGCTGGGAGTAGCCCAGTTTTGGCCTCGCCTGCCGCCTGGAGGGGTGTTGGGTCATTTGGGGGCTCTGCAGGATGACAGCTTGGGCTGCGGGAGCATCAAAGGTTTGAGGGGACAGTAACTTGCTTGAACTTGCAGGCCCTGTTCCCACCTGTGAGGGGGTGAGAACAGAGCCCACCCAGCCTGGCCGGCTTCGGGGGCTTGGGGATCCCGAAGGCCCTCAGTGCTCATTGAGGAAGGGAGAGTGAATGTCTCAGGCGTGGTGCTTCCTGGCATCCTCTGGTGTGGAGGAGTCTGGCCCTTCTAGTGGCCGTGCGACCTCGCAGATAAACAGACACTTCTCGGTCTCAGTCTCGTCCCCAGAACACCTGGGAGAACCGTGGCCCCTGCTGGCTGTGTGGCTGTGGCAGTAACTGAGCCTCTCTGAGCTTGTTCCTTACCTGTAGATCGGGCTGTAACGGACACCAACTGAGCTCGAGTCAGGGCCTGGCAGCTCAGAGGTCGGGGGTGTTTGCACTTGCCCCGTTTCTGACGGGAGCTGTGTGCCCAGGAAGTGACAGGCATGTTTGCAGCCATGTCAAGCAAACAGGGACTCGAACCTGGGGTCCTGCAGCTGTGAGGCTCACTCTTCCCCTGCCAGGCCCCTATGGGAGGCTCCGAGGAGAAGCTCCTGCTGGGCGGGGTCCTTGGTGAGGACGGCTGTTTGTTCACACCCGCAGAGTCAGGGAGACCCAGGCGCTCGCTGTGTGCCCGCTGTCGGCCGCGCCCTGCTCTTCAGAGGCTCCAGGCCAGTGGGTGTTTGCCAGGGCAGTGGGGACACCAGTGAGGGGTGGATTGTCACCATATAGGGCAGAGGCCACGAGTTTCGAGAAGTGGTGGGTACTGGTATGGCCAGGTGTGGGGCTGCGGCCAAGGGAGGTCGTGAGGGGTGTGGTTGAGCATCCTACGGCAAGTCCTCCCCGTGTGTCCTCGGTGGCCGCCCAGTGCTGCCGACTGCCCCTGTGCCCACTGGCACTGGGCAGGAAGGAGCCGCCTGGCCTGGCTGACCTGGACCACGGGGGCGGTGTGTGCTGAGTGTCCCTGGAGTGCCAGCCTCTCAGGACACCTGACCAGAGGCTGCCCCGACCTCGGACAAGTGAGAACCACCTTGCGCAGTCTGGGGGGCCGCAAGCCTGCGTTCACCCCCCGTGACCCGTCAGTGGTCAGCGCCCCTGTCAGTGGCCAGGCCGCCTCCCCTGTGAGGTGGGAAGGCACAGGCGCCAGTGCCCTGGGCAGAGTCCATCCTGGCACTAGCCAGAGCCCCTCGAAGGGGGTGACGGGGCCCCAGCACCTCAGGGAAGCTGGGAGCTTGGGCAGGGGGAAGGTTCCAGAAGCGGCCCTCCCTGCCCCGCTCTCCGGCCAGGCCTTCCCAGGCCTTGGCTCAGGGCAGGCGGCCGCACTTCCAGGCTGGACGTTCCTCGTCGCTGCCGCTTCGGGGCACGTCCCCTGCTCAGGCTGCGGCTGCCTCTGTCCTCCAGGGGCTCACGAAATGGCCGCCACGGCCCTCCGCCATTTCGTGTGTGAGGCGGGCGGCAGCCCTGGGGGCTGGG